AGCTCTCTGTTTTAATTTGTTTGCATACTAAAGCTAGTAGCTGATAAGAAAAAGCAAGTTTCCACTCTGTCTGTGGGCTCCCCAGGCACGTGACTGCCCTCACCTCTTGCCTGGCAGCTGCAGATAATGCTCCAGAAAGTGTTTTTCTGCACTTTCAGGGTAGGAGAGAGATGACAGCTTTGCTCAGTCTCCCCACTCTTTTCCCTTGCACTGAGGGAATCACAGAGACAGTTGAGGGGTCCCTGCAGTACCCTAAAACAGGGTCTTGCAGGACAGGATGCATTTTGTCTCGGGGACTTCTACTGAGGGACATTCACTTCTCCTAGAAGCACACTCACTGCAAATGTCTGACTCCCTAATACGTGCATTTATTTCCTTGCCACATCCTTGACTTTAACACCACCTCCTTTTCCTTCTTGTTAAAAAGGAATGGTCTCTTGAAAGCACTGTCATGCTTAATTCCCCAGTGGAAATTGTTGAAGGTGACTTTTCTGGAGTGACGAAGTCTTGCTGCTTGAATTGTTGTGCTTTTCTGAGAGGGATATTTGTTTATGTGTCTTGAAACAGAACTTCAGTAATCACTTTATGTTCTTAAAGTAAAGGCTATATATATATAATGAAGCTTTGATAAAGCTTTCATGTACAATTATAGATGACAGATTAAATAATTTGTAGACCTAACTTTTTTTTTTTTCCAGATAATTAAGGTATGCAATAGCATTTTGTTGGTTGATTAACATTTGGATAGTAGTGTGAGTACTTGGAGCATTATGAAAGTGAAATTTTGTCAGTAATAAATCAGCAACTATCGTCAGGGTTTGTTACATTTTTTATGTGAATAGGGCCCCATTAAGTCAGGGAGAATTTTACCATTATCTTCAATAAAATCAGACTTTCATCCTCCCATTGCAAAGGACCTTTTAACAGCTGCCTATCATCTTGTCATAAACCCTGTTTGAGTGAAACTAATCTTATAGGGATTTTATTAAGACAGAATGATGGTGGAGGAGGGAAGCTTTTAAATGCTTCTGTTGAAAAGAGCTACCTTTGAGAAATGCTTGTGCTGTGACAGAAAAATCCTGGTATGGGCACTGTCTCTAGCTCAGATAACTGCTGCACTGAGCACAGCAAGATCATTCTGGAGTCACCTATTTAAAAGATTAGGCAAAGGCATCAAAGGATGCCAAGACCTCCTTTCTCTTTAAATAAATGCAAACTAGGAGTAATGTTATTATAATCAGCTGTGTAAACTAGAATACGCAAAGGGTGCCTAATCTTGGTCACAGTGTTAAAAACCAAAGAGTGCAAATATCACCCCAGGTGATATTTGAAAGAGTAGACCTAGATACAATTTTTTTTGTGAGTCCTGAAGCTATGATCTGAATATATAGTTTGTACTCTGCATCGAGGAGCAAATCTGTATGCAGTGACCCATGCTTCCTGCTCCCAGAGTGTAAGAGATGGCTGCTGTGCTGCTTTTATTTCTGCACACTATAGAAAATCCCGTCTCTTTGAACCTGGAGTCAGTTTAGTGACTTTGTTTTTTAGGTCCTCACACAGTAATGAAAAGCAGCTCCAGCTTGGCACAGAACATCCTGCAGAAATTCAGGGTGGTGACATTTGTGCTGTGTAGGAGAACCCACAGTCAAGTTTTCTTACAAGTCTCCTGTCAAATTTTTTGTCACGTAGGCCATTACAAGACACTTCAAAATCCTCTGGTAATGCACACTTTTGTAGGAGGTATCTAAGGAGAGTGTTCAGCGAGCACTTTAAAAGCACCTAAGAGGCTCAACTACAAGGTTTTTAATAGCATGTAACAAAGAGCATAGCCAGTTCACTTGTTCAAGATGGCCAGACTAGGAGTGGTCCTAAGACAGAGGTACTGGAAAAGGAAGGAAGGGTGCAGATGTCACTGATAGAGAGCAAAAAGAACTTTTTCATGGGAAGAATTCGTGTTAATGAAAGGAAAGGCTGTACCCAAGCACATTCACAGCTGCTAAATTTGGTACTCCCTACCCCCAGGATAGACCCAGATGACTGCAGCAGGCATCATCCTTTTAAGGGATGTGCCGCCTTTTGCTGGATGAGGAATTCAGAGGGGACAGAGGTGTAGCCCTGGCACCAGAAGGATTCTGGGGGCTTTTGAGTCAGGTAGTGGCAGCCAGATGCCCTCCAGCCTTATCTGCTACCCTTTCATTTAAGACAGGCAAAAATAATTTCTGGAGGGACTTAATTAAATTCCACTAGGTCACAGTCTCTGTACAAATCATCTTCACTTCTCTTCCACATTTACAGTTGATGAATGTCTACAGCCTTCCTCATTATACACAAGGGTTATTTCCAGAGATGCAGACAGCAGGATACAATTCATAGGACAGTCAGATGAAGCAGAAGGTCTTATGCATAATTTTGCTCAGAATCTTCCTTCACTTCCTGATTATACATCTGTTGTCTTTATAAGATGGATATAGGGATTCCCTCCCTCAATATTTGCAGATTACAAGCATGTATATTTAAATGTTGCAGCCTTTCGAATAACATGCTAAACTTTGGTAGAAAAAGAAGCAGGAGATGCAGTGCAGTAAAACATACCAGCTTTCTTATGGACTCTGGGAACAAGGTTTCTGAATTTATCAAGAAAATTAAATTTGCAGTGTTTAGCATGGAAAATGTAACAATGCATTGGAGGGATGGTAACCTTGCTTTCAAGTACCCATTAGAGTGATTTTTATGAAAAAGATGCAAGGTCTGGATGGGATGCTGGTAGAACCACCTTGTAAAATTCACCCACACAGCACTCTTGGTGACTTTGGCTTTGCTGGCTTTGGTGCCCAAGGGCATTCTCCACTGCAGACAACTGCATATTTGAGTGATCTTGAAATTTCTTTTACAAAAATAAAGCCCAAGGAAAGTTTTGCCTAAGGGCAGGTATCTCAGGCCTCAATAATTTTTTTTCTATATTTTGGCCTCCTGTCTGTTCTTACAAAATGGTACACTATCTCTGTTCTGGAGTTTTTTTCATTTGCTTTTTATGGCATGTTTTCTTTACATTTTATATTATTGTGTGCAGTTTGCCTTTTTCCCTTCCTGTTTCCCAACTTATCCTCGGAATATGATCTCAAGCCAATGATACTATTACATTTTTCTGTGCTTATTTTGCCATTTCCAGCCTTTGGTAAAGCTCCAGAATTTCTCTGTGTTGGCAGAGAGTGGAGCTGTTTCCCCCAGTTTATTTTCTATGTAGCTGGAGTGCCCTGGCAAGGCATCGTGTTCTCTTGAAGTGGACTGGCTGAACACTGTGCCATCTGTAAACAGATTGTTACTCTTTACAACCCCCTTGGATAGAAGTTTTTGTAGCACTTTGGGGTGTTAATAGGAAGCGGTGAGTATATATAGCTGGGGAGTATGGCTCTGTGTTGCTGTTGTGATAGGAAAGTGTACTTTTGCATTCTGGTAGTAGGGTGTTGTGGATTTCTTTGCAGATATTTGCTCCCCAGGCAACAGTTTTCTAAGGAACCAGGATGCCCTCCAGCAGAGCCCCAGCACCAGGCAGTCTGTAAGGTTTCGGATATCTCTGGTCTGTTGCCTCTGAGGTGGAATAGCAGCATAAAATGAGAAAGCCATAAGGTTATTCATAATGTAAAATGAGATTTGCATCCTCACTCTCCTGAGGAAACTGTGTATTATGCAAATATCAAAATGGCATAAACAAAACAGTTTTTACTAGTGCTAGAAGTAAGCTTTGGCTCTCTTGATATATTTGATGTATTTGACTCACTTGATATCAGTATAACTGATGCTGCACTGCTCAGAAATTTGCCTCAGACTTTTTTTAGTGTTCAGCTTGATCTGTCAATCATACAGAACATCCATAAGACATGGTTATATTTTCCTATGAGTTTTTCGTTCCCTACCACTAAATCCTCTCTAGATCAAGTGGCAAGGTAGTCTAGGATAGAACTGCTTCCCTAGGCAATACATTGCCTAGGGAAGATCACCCTGTTGTTTTTTCCTGACAGGATGCCCAGGTAATTCACAGTGTGTTAAACTGAAACGGACTACCCCAATACAATGTGATTTCCACAGAAGCTAACTATAGTGCTACATATATGTACTTGATGATATATAACTTTATATATAGTTATAAATAGTTATATTATCTACTTTTATTTATAATTATTTGGTTTATGTATTTAAATAGTTACATCTACATATAAAGTCAATGCTTCTTTATGTCTGTAACAGTGCTCTACCCAGGAGTCAAACTCCTAGTCCAGTTGCAGTATGTACAGAAAGGAGATAAGTATAAGGTGTGTGGCACAAGCTCCATCACAGAGGTTTCTTCACGTACTAATAAGAAAGAATGGTCTTACTGGGACACCTTACATAAATAATATCATTTCACGTGTCTCAGTGTTACTAGATAAGGCCTGTGGCATGCACACACGGTGGTCCACCTGGCTTGTCTCACATCCAGTTTAACTAAGGGTTAAACAGGAACAAGGAGCCTTCAGGCAAAGCTTGATTATGGCAGCACTCAGGTATTGTGGTGAGAGGCCTAAAGAAAAGGTGCAGGGGAAAAAAAATCATGTGTTTTCTTTTTACTCCCCTACAGATTGACCATTTCTGCTGAATGTCCCATGCAGCTTGAAGATTTCCCCATGGATGCACACGCTTGCCCACTAAAATTTGGAAGCTGTAAGTTCTCTTCTGAAATAAGAAATAGAAATATGCCTTGTTTTCTGTCTTTTCTTATTCAGCCATGTCTCATACAGATCTTTCACCCTCTCCCCCAGCACTCCACTTTTAACACTACTCATTAGCACCCCCCAGTCCAACTCCATTGCTGCTACTCTGTTGCTCCTTCTCCATAACTGTGCTTTATCTGTGCCTGCTGCTTTTCAACTCATGCTTGCATGCTCCATGATAAGCAGTGAGCTGATGGATGATACGTCTTATATATACACATCAAGTGTAACAGCCACTGTTAGATGGAGTTGTAGATGCAGACAGCTAAGATGGTAACTTGGTTTTACATTTGTAGTAAAACAGAGCTTTCACTGGACTGACCACATTGATGTGCAATCAATGTGGTATTTATATGAATCAGGCTTCAGTGCAATATCTGCATTGCATATATTAAAAGAGATCTAGAATATTAAAAGAGGAAATATCTTTCCATTTGGCTTTAATAAATCCAGTCCTGTATCCTGTTACATGATGCGGTATACACATGTATCTGTATATATGCACACATTATTCTAAATTGTATGTTGAATGATGATTTTTCCTCAATTCCTCTAATCCACCACACTGTTGCCTTGCCAGAAGCTTACTTTAAAAATAACCTCAGGGAATCAGTTATATTTAAAAACAAAGCTTTTAATTAAAGTACAAATGAGGCTATTACAGTCAACCTTTTTTTATTATTATTATTGTTTATTTTCGTAATCCAATCAGAGCTTCCAGGTGCAATCAGTGTATTTGAAGACTTTTGATAATTACCAGGCAAGGCATTTTGCTAAGCCCTGAAGCCACCCAACTTCAGCATTTTGCAGTGTTTTTCAGTCGTATCAATTTAGAGTCACTAATCCTAGCAAGATTAAGCTTTGCTTTTATCGTCTGTATCTGCCCTGATTTAATACTGACTATACATTGTCTTCTGGTGATCATACTAAGAAGTAAAAATACTGTTTAGAGGAACCATTACCAAATTACCAAACTTAAGATAAACTGATTTCCTTTCCCTCTTCCCATCCATGTAGACCCTGTTTCATCTGAATGTATTTTACAAGGTCACTGTAGGTAGAAGTGTGTTCACTGTCTTCAGCAGCATTAATTTACAGCAAAGCCTATATATATCTGAAGGTCCATACACCTTTATCCTAAAAAAAAATTATATATGTAAATCATCCACTTCATTCCAAACTTTAAAAAAGGGAAAATATCTCACAGAAAACTGTAATTATTTTTATATAAGGTTAAACAAAAGCTCCCGGAAAGAACTAATAAGACGAAAAATAAGTTGTCCTTCCTGGTGTTACTTGTCCTTTACTGTATTGATAGATAAAGTTGAAGTCACACCTGTTGGTCTGTAGTGTAGACTATAGAACTAGTATGTTGCATAATTTTACGAAATCTTGCAAAATACGCAATATAAAACTAAAAGATACATATTTAAACAAAGAGCCTGATGCAGCAGAGATCTGAAGCTCAACCTTAAAGTCAAATGGATGCTTCAGTGTATTAATAGATTAGATGCAGAAATTTCTAACTGTCCATATAGTAAAGACACACAAAAAAAGCACCCCAACCAAACATGCAAGTGTATGAGATAACATTACAAGATAACCTACAAACACTTAGAAGAAGTACCCAGTAATCTGTCTGAATGTAATTGTTCTGCTTGTGCCAAATGTGTTACATATTAATCACTCATTAGCACACAGGTAATTTTAATCCACGCCAAAACTAGCACTGAAAAATTGTATTTTAGGCACTGAGGGGTGAATACAGTTTTAGTTTATGCTCCTTGCCATGCTCAGAATACAGTCCTAGAGTACATTTCATAAGTTATTACAAGTCACCTTCAAGTTCTCCCACAGTGTGTAGACATGGAGACATTTGGTCTGTGCTAGTCACACTAGTGGCCTCTGCAGTAAATAAATCCATAGGAACAAGCTGTAGACAAGCTATTCAGCCTTGGGAATTTCTGTATTACTGATCTGACCACTCACTAGTAATTTACTGGGATTTAATATGCAGATGTTTGCAAATAGCAGCCAGTAAATCAGGGTTTATTGAACTTGCCCAGATGTATTTTAGGAGAACACAGTATTTATTCCCTATTTACAGCAGTATGGGTTTGCATTGAGTCATCTCCAGGTTTGCAGCAAGACAAAGCCTACAGGGGTATGATACACAGGCACATATATACTTTGTGCTTTAGTTTTTCTTTGTCTTTTCCCAAAGAGTTTCTTTTTAATGGTCTTATTTCCTAGAAGGATTTTGAAAAGTATCAAGGAGTAGCATCAAAGTAAATGTTAAACACATTATCAGTGGAGATGGGAGAGTGGAGAAGAGACTAGTGCTAACCAGTCTGAGGGTAGAGAGAGCAGGGCAGCGAAATGAAACAGCCGGCACACAGGCAAATCATCAGCAGAAAAGATGCTGAGAAGTGATCAGTGTCACAGCAGAAGCAGGAATAGGTTATTAATTTTCTGGCTGCATGAGCGTTCACTGTGTTTGCTGTAATTCAGCAGGCAAAAGGCAAAAATGTGCCTGATGTTTCCTTCATTATTAAAGAGAAAGAATATTAATCTTGCTCACAGAAATAAAGGTAAATGTTGAATTCTTATGTCCCATGTGACTGGTTTCTTGCTATATTAGAATTGTGGGAGGTTTTATGGGCCTAGGAAACATTATGTAGCAACAGAATATTTTGTAGAAGTAATTAAAAGAAAGGTCAAATTCACAAAAAGGGATACAAAGTTACCTGTTTACACCACCAGCCTTGATACCTGCCAGGCCGTTCAAATGCCAGCTATAGTAGTATTTTTTAATGCTCTGTGGCACGTTGTGAAAAGTAAAGAAGTTCAAGGATGGCTTTTCACAAACTTAAAAGAGCAGATTTTAGTTGATCTTCTCTCACGTACGACGCCCCACTGCTCAGAGATGGCAAGATCAGGTGGGTCTGCTCCAGGAGATGCACGTCTGCAGGTACTTTTCCTTTGGGCTTGTATCCCTGCTGTGGGTCACGACAACTGTAGAAATTATCCTGCAGAAGTCTCATTCAGAGGGAACTGGGGATGGTGCATGAGCACAGGCTCTAGGGTATCTGCAGCAGGCTCTGCTTCCTTTGAATCAGGAGTACGGTCTGTCCATTACCTCATGGTAATATGGGAAGGATGCTGTTTTCTTCCACGGCCAAGTTTGAAATAAACTTTACATTGCAATTCTAGTGCTGACCTCTATTCTAAATAACTTTACCAGTCAAACAGGATCTGATGAAAATTCCTGATGCCAGACACAGTTGCACAAGGAGCACCTTAGCCTAAGAAATTTGTCCTTACCCCTAAGCTATTTGTGGTGTGTGTGGGAGGAATTAGATAAAATAGCAAGGACATGAGAGCTTCACAGCTTTAATGTTTCACCTCTTCCACTGATGGGCCCTAGGAATACATTAAGAGTATCATTTAGTACAGATTCAAAATGCCCCTATGTCACCAGGTAGGTAAGCATTATTATCTCTAGGGCAGCTGAGACAGAGAAGTTAATTGACTTTCTGTAAGGTCATGCAGCAAATCAATGTCAGAAAAAGGATTAGACTCAACTTCTTTGGTTGGAGAAGCAGATGTCTAATCCACTAGACCATGAAGGCCTCTGCCCAGGCAACTGACTTAACTCCTAAATCTCATTTTACTCATGTGTTAATTATATCGGTGTTGCCCTGAAGATGAATTAGTTAATGGCTATTGGTGAACATTACCCGGTGCTTTGACAATGTCAAATACTGTAAAGTGGTGTCTATTTATGGCAACTGTCTCTTGAAGACACAGTGTCTGAGTGCACAGTTATGAGATCTTGTACTGTGGAATAACAAATGCATGAAGCAGCTGCCAACTAGTCACTCAGCAGGCAAAAAAAAACACCTTCAAAAACAAAACCTACGATTTTTAGAGTAAGTAGAGAGTTTAATGAACATTCTGAAAATAATGAAATCCCCAAGCTCATCAGCAGAGGAAAAACAGGCCTGATGAATTTTTAGTCAGACATGAAGGTGGTGAAGGTTGATCACTGTTGATCAACAAGGGAACTTGACAACTGTTTATGAGAAAATAGCACTAGGTACAATTTGTGGTGTCTGGAGAAAGTAGTTAACATGGTTTATGTACGTCTTCCTTTTTAACAGCTCAAACTAAGTGACAGTATGACTTTTGATAAAGGAAATTACACAGGCTATATCTGTAGCAGGAGGCACACTGCAATTATTTTCCTCTAAGAAGTCTGGTGAAGTCAGAGTAATCAGTAGACAGTAACTTCACCAGTACCTCAGGATTTTATCGCAAAGTATTTAAGGGAAATTTCCCCGATGATATTTCCTTCTAATGCAGAGAAGGCACTGAGGTGAAAGTGTTTCTTGATTTTATGCTTCCTCCCATTAGCACCTGCAAGAGCTGCAGGAAAACTGCAGAGGTTGGAAGGAGAACTTCAAAACAGAATCCTTCTAAACAGACTCTAATTCTCGATTAGTAAAATGTGATAAAGAAGTACCCAGCCCCTCAAAACCTGTGTGTAAGAGTCTTGTGTAAGAATATAATTAAAGGAATAAGAAATAAAGACAAATGTTAATTTTAAGAGACTTTGAAAAGGAGGAATGGCTCTTTGGAAGATTTTCATAGGTTGCTCCCAGGGACAGCTGGAACTGCAGTCCCATGTATGGAGGCAGATTTTCTGTTACTCATCTCTTCAGACGGTCTGAAGAGAGTCCTGAGTCTATTCCTGAGAGCAGAGACAAGCAGCATAGCTTGTTGACTCTGACTGGATGTGTTAGTGCATTCTTTAAGAAAGGACACATGGAGAGAACCATAGAGGTTCTCTGTGCTGAGCAGCAAAGTTCAAGACTAAGTTGTGACTGAATTTAAGGCAAAAGCCTCCTAATATAGAATGGATAGCTTTGGCAATGTTCTGTTCATTCCTGTAACATCTTCCTTTACATCTTCCTGGGGTCTGTCACTGCTTCCTTAGACATTCCATTGCAATGGACATTGAAAGACTAAAATACGGTGAAGTTAGGTGAATACTAAAACTAAATATTTCTAAG